ACAGAACATAGATATCGACAAGCAATTGTGTGTTTCTTATTGTTTGCACTGCTTCTTTAGTCGGTCTGATTGTTAAAATTGTTTGTAAATTAACATTTTAAATTTGATATTTTTTTTAATCTTCCCGGGGGGCATGCCCATCGGACCCCCCTAGCAGGTTTAGATCCATGTCACCTTCTTCATCCCTGATGAGTTTGCATCCCTGCTTACCTCCAGAGAGAGCCCCTCCGTGGCTCAATCTTGAGAGTTATCTCGTGAGCTCACTGCCCCCTATACACTTCATAACCACTAAGCTCTCCCTTAGCACACAAACTCACACCATCCTTTCACATATGCAGTGGTTGTGGAAAAGGATGGCCTTAATACACAACCATTCCTCTGGAGGCAGTGGGTTGATAAAGGAATCCTGGTCCTGGGATCTCTATGAAGGGGGCACGCTGAAGTCTTGCTTGAAGATACAGTTTAATTTAACACAACATCAGTTTTGTAAATATTTACAGTTTAGACATCTATTGCTCTCTATCTTTGGGTCCCTCTCAGCACAGCCCCCCACTCGAAGTTTCCTTTCACAAATAATGGAGATTTTTGGTAAAGGACACCAGGCCTCACTTTATTACTCAATGTTTCTGAAATCCTTTGACGAAGGCCAATCAGCCTTAAGATTGACCTGGGAGGCAGACCTCAATGTAGAATTTACAGAGAGGGAATGGAATAGGATACTACATAACTTTAAAAAGAAGTCTAGGGAACTCAAAACCAGACTTGTTCAATTTAAGATCTTAAACAAAGTTTATTGGACTCCATCAAGGTTATATAGAGTGAAGTTAGCACAAACCCCAGAGTGCTGGAGATGCAAGGATGGAGAAGGTACATTGATTCATATGTTATGGGGATGACCTAAAATACAAGACTTCTGGTCCGAAATTCACAAAGATCTTACAAAGGTTACTCCTCTGGGACCTTACCTCCCCTGAGGAAGAATGGGTGCAGACGGCACTAATGCTGAGGTGCAAGTTAATCGTTTCAGAATGGAAGGCCCCCTCTTCCCCGTCTGTCAATCTGTGGCATAATCATTTGGGTAGACTAGCCGCATTGGAAGGTTTATCATTTAGATTTATAAATAGAGTTGAATATTACAATTTGAAATGAGAGTGATACTTGTCTAAAATCAGTAGTGCAGACTGAGGTGGGGAAGCTAGAGAGGCTTGGGGAATCTTATCCTTGATGGGTGACGGCAACCCCTCGGGAGTCAGCACATTGTACTTTATGCCCTGTTGTTGGGCCTGTCGTTGTCGAGCACCGTCTGCACTTGTCTATTTTGTTTTTTGTTGTTGTATTGTTTCAGTTGATAGCTTTTCCTTTTCTTTTCTCTTTTTATTTCAAGTCTTATTTTAGTAGATTGCCCAAATTAATGTTTTTGTTTGTTCTTTATGTAGCCGTTATCAGCAGTCACGATTACAACTCTCTTCCTGCAGGACTGAGTACTGTGGATCAACATTACTTTTACCAAGGAACAAAGGAACTGATCAATGACTTAAGTCTCCCTCTCAGACAGGATGTTTTGAACTTTTACAACACCTGGAATAAACAATTGAGCGGAAACAGAACACACTGCTATCTACGAATTGACCCCAAAGACATGAACTGTGATATTTGTAATTGTCACATTGAATGTATTATAATCATCTTTTTAAACTCAAAATCTGATCTTCAGAATAGGAATAAGAGTTATATTATGTTTAATAGGAATTTGACGTGGAGCGCTATTGCCATCTAGTGTTAGAATATCCATGAATACGTAACCTTCATAATTATACATTTAGACGTGTTATAAAGCATACTCTTTGTTTTTAGCTATAGAAGGTGTTATTTAAAGACTCCAATTTATTTTCCTACTTTATTAATATGTCTTTTTAAGAATGCTGACTGTAAAACATGTTTTTGCTCACCTACAGGCTGGGATTGACTGAGGATGTTCCCAGATGGTGTGATTTTCATCTCAACATGAATCTCATAGAAATGTTTGTCTCAATATATGACGTGAACCTACATCAACGTGGATCTGATAGAAGTAATATTGAAATGAATGTATGGTGACGTATATGTGTTTAGATTCTTATTCTTAATCTTATTGAGTAAACTCGGTTTAGTTTAAACAATTGTCCTCCGGTCAGAATGGGAGGCACCCGTGGGCGGCACCCCTCTTTGCCTGCAGACCCCCCTCCTCTCAGCCAGCAGATAAGAGTTCACACTAGCTCAGATCTTTAGTTTTTTCTTCTTAGTTTTGGCTTCTTGAAGTTTAGAGCTTCAGCTCTTGCTCTCTTCTCTTCGGACTTCGGTCCGAATCACTTCTTTTAACTTTGTGCCGTAGAGACGAGTCTCTACCGAACTTTCTTTTTCACGCACAATTTTTGGAACATCAATTCTTTCTGGCTCAAGCAAGGTTTTTGAACTTTCTTCTCCAAAGTGTTTGCTCTTCAATTTTGAACGCCAATTCCTTAGTTTGGATTCATCAAGATGGCCATCCGGTTAATCTGAATTGGAAATCGAAATATCAAAAGACTCATTAATAATTTTTCCTGTTGGATCCTCTTGGAGCTTCTGAGACAACGGCTGAACCAACGTACAATCTCCATCCCAGCTGCATACTCCGACCAAGTTGTCAAGGCATCTAACCTGGCCCGCGACCTCTCTGGGCCTGAAAAGAACCACTTGCCAGAGACTGAAACGCGGGACCAGCCGGCGGAGTTCAATTGAACACATCTCACAGTAAGACTGCTGGTGGCAAGGGGTGTTGGAAGTCTTGAGTCGTGTCTATTCAGAGCCCTCCTAATAGAATCCCAAAATTCCTTCATCAACTTTTTCTTTTTGACCATTTTCTGATTAAGTCATTCAAACAATACCGCGTCTTATCTCATTTCTAAATATATAATGTCACCATACATTATAATTGCATTATCCTGATCATAATAATCATATTCTTTATCTGTTTCATCTATACATTATTGTTTACCCCTTTTATATGAAATTTTACACATAAAATTCAGGACTTTGTCTGTGTTTTCTCTTGTTTAACATTTCCAGAACTTACTTCTGGGTGGCTGTGGCTCAGTTGGTAAAGTCATCACCTCTCAACCAGAAGATTGAGGGTTCAATCCACAGCTCAGCAACATGTCCATTGTGTCCTTGGGCAAGACATTTAACCCTGAATTGCTCCTGCTGCTTCAGAGCTGCCTGCTGTGTTTGACCCTCTTTTACTTGCCCAGCTGAACACAGCTTCTGTACATGTGACGGGGAAGGCGAAATATCCAGCCATGCAGGTGTCTAACAGGGACACAGGGGAGAGGTTTGGGCTGCAGTATGTGGAGCCAGGCTGCCGTCCTATTTTCCTGAGCTTTGAAAAGAACAAGGAGCCGCACACCATCTCAGCTCCTCTAGCCATGGAGACACAGCAGCAGTCCTCCGTCCAGGAGTCCTCCGTACATTAATAGCTCACTGTCAATTACTGACTCATAGACAGACTGCTTTACTCACCTCTTTATGTAATGCATCAATTCAGGAAACCAGTGGAACCCAAATTTATTGTTTTAATATATTGTCATGAATTTTGATTAAGAAACTGTATTCAAATATAATTAATATATTAATTTATAATTATTATATTAATTTGTTTAAAAAAATAACTCTTTACTTTCCCAAACTATAATTTTGAACCCAAGTTGAAATATTATGTTATTATGTGTATAGGTGTTAATTATCAACTTATCTAACAATCTTGTTCTTCATTTTTAGACTTTTCCAAGGCCTGCTCTGCTCCCTATGGAAGCCCATTTCCACTTTGTTGGGATTTTCTGAGAAATTATGAGATAATAAAGTCATAATAATGAAATTAACGAAATTATGAGAAAAAGATCAAAATGTTCTCTTTGTTTATTGTGTCCCTTGCTCAAGTGGTTTATTCCGTGACTTCTGCTCCAGGGGCCTGTATGTACATTCCTTGAATGTAGTCTTCAATGTGACCACGATGCATCCTTGAATGTCTTAGTTATGTATTTATTGACTTGTTTATTTCTGTTGTCCTCAGACTGAGCTTTTTATCTGGCCCTTGTGGGTGTCATTGCCCAAACAGACCACACGAGGGTATCATTGTGCCAACGCTTACCTTTGCCAAATACTTGTTTTGTTTGATTTGTTTGTTGTCTCTGATTAATCTCCTTCTGTTGTTTGTTTGTAAATGTCTGCATTGTCTGGGTGGACTCTGGAACCAAATTGCCCTCTGGGATAAATAAAGTTGTCTAAGTCTAAGTCTTTGTGTGTATCTTTATGAGATAAAAAGTCGAAATTACAAGTTGGTAAGTGTGCATGTGCTCCAGCTGGCATTGCAGTCCCGCATCCCCTCACTCGCCCAGCCATGTAAACGATATGCAATCTATATAGCAATTCTAATTCTGCCAAATGTAGTAAACGTTAGATGCATAATAAATAGTTATGTCTTTTAATCTGGTTGTCGCTGGAACTAAACACATTACATTACTGTTTACGTAGCATTGACTGTACTATTTAACTGTCAATGTGTCACAGTTATTTTGTAAGCTAAAGTTTACGGTAGTAGATGGTGTCCCTGACTTTTTATCTCATAATTTCGACTTTTTATCTAATTATTTCGGTAAAAAAAAATTATGGTCAAAAATTAAATCTCAACAAAGCCAAATTTATATTTGTATTTGTTTTAACTGGCGGAAATGGGCTTCCATAGCTCCCTGTATCCTCCTCTCCCCGGGCCGCTCATTATAATTTTTCACTTATTGGGACCTTTACAATAAAATGCAAATAAAAGAAAAAGGGTGAGTACGGGTCCTTAGTTTAAAAAATGCGACAGGTATTCAACCCAAAATAAGTTAAAATCATTAAAGTACTTATTCTTATTTGACTGTGTTGAAGTGACTGGCTTTTACTTTGAAGGTGCTCAAACAGCATACAAAGCTGCCCTGTGTTGACTTCCGGTGATACCATCTGAACTACAGATCGTCGTTTCGGACCGGTTGTAGGCTCCGTTTGAACCAGCTGAGCTCTGCTTGTGAGCATCGAAAAAGTTGAGTGCTCTGAATTATACTTATCCTCCTTGGTTCAACATTTAACCGTGAGTGTTGTACGGACAAAGTTAACCTGTAATTTAGGATAGAGGGGAAACATCCGGCTTGAGATTCAAACTGAGGGATGTTTTAAAGTTTGCAAAGTCCGCATAAACCGTGTATCGTTACACGTAAGGTCACTTTTATAATTTTTAAGTTATTTTGTCATCCAACACAATAAGTTGCTCTTTTGTTTTACCTAACAGCACAGATAACATGGACGTCTGCAGGCATGTCGCATTTTGCCAACATTTGGGCGAGGCTACGGCTAATTCTTGGAACAATAAGTTTAATCGAGGACCCTTACCCACCTTTAGTTTTACTATAAATTAATATAGACGAATGCCACATGTAGCCTATGTTGTACATTTTGTGTCAGGGTTACGTGAAAGACAAGTTTGTTATGGTTTTAAATTAGTTTTATTTGTAAGTGTTTTTTTTACTTTTTGTTTGTTTTTAATGTTGCTTTGTGCGTAGCCCCTGAAGTCCCTCAAAAGTACAAGAGGAGTTAGATGATAACTTTTGTTAACAAGATAAATCATGTGCAAGATATTAACTTTTGCGTACATCATAATATCTGGCACACGATAATTATACTGTTAGCACAAGTTATCAACTTACTTGTGCACATAAGATAATAACTTGTGCACACAACATATTTTTCCTTTACTTTTGGGGACTTAAGGGGATCTGTAGGCTCGTCAGTTCAGTTTTTATTTTTGAAAATGCTTAGTTTTAGTTTAGTTATAAGTGGCTTCTGTTAGTTTTATTTTTTTGTCCCAGTATCGTAAATGGTTCAAAGAAAGATATCAAGCAACCATTTGTTTAAAAAAAAAAAAAAAAACTCTAAAATATTATATAAGTTAGGGAACAAAAGGTTTGACCTTCTGCACTCTGTTAGCTCCTAAAAATATAAACTGAGGTGTCTGAGGAAAACTGTAAGGACAGTGTGTTTGTGTAAAAGACAAAAAACAAGGACGTTTTCTCTATGATTTTATTTAATTTGAGTTAGTCTTGTAAACACACTATACAGTTTCAGTTGGGTTAAAGTTTTTTGGTAAAGTCTTGTTTTTTATTCCAGTTAACAAAAAATGTTTAATGGGTTAACCCTAACCCTTTTGAATATTAGTTTTTGCCAACGATAATAACTCAAGTTCCAGAAACACATAATAAGGCTTGCTCCTGCTTTCCATTCACATCATGTGCACAGTCAGAATAAACTCCAGCTAACATTTAGTGTTGGATGCTCTCAGGTAAGATTTAATTTGCATGGTGGCGACTGTGAGGACATTTTGCACAATGTCTGACACTGTTTGCTGTGATGCTTTGTGTACTAGCAGCTAGCTAACATCAGATGCTTTCAATTTTGTTTACCTTTCTTCACTGTCTTACATTTGACTTGTAGAGCGAGACAATTCAATTACAGATGTTTCCCTGCTTTAATAAACTCTGTGCGACTACTATGGCAGAAACAAAAATATAATGCTCGCCGGAAATTGCAACGATGGTGACGTTTCTACTATAACCTTTTATTCCCCCAGCACCATGAGTCTGCGAGAGATCAGTGAGAATGTGAAGCTGGCCCGAGAATATGCCTTGCTGGGAAACTACAGCTCTGCCAGCGTTCTCTATCACGGATTGCTAGAACAAATCAAGAAGTATGTGTACACTGTGCGAGACAGCAGTGTTCAGCAGAGGTGGCAGCAGGTAAATGGCATTAAACACACGTCACAGATTGTTTTGGAAAAAAGAGTCACAGGCTTTTCAGATGTTTTCTTTCTGCTTTGTTTTCAGTTGTGGCAGGAAATCAGTGAAGAGAGCCGACAAGTTCAGGACATAATGTCAACTCTGGAGAACTTTCAGCTGGACACAACGCCTGCTAAACCCAGTAACCATGACGATTTTGACATAAGACCTGTGCATGTGGAGCAGAGGTATTCATTCTTGTATGTTGCTTTGGTAAAAGTTCGTTTTTCACTTATTGTAAAACACATATGACACCTCAGACACACTGCAGGCCCAGGCCTCTGTTCACCTTTGCAGGGTGTAGACTTGTAATCGGGGGTTGTGTAAGCTGTTTTCCAGAGAACATTAGCCTTGATGTAGTCATATGATTGAGATTAGTGCGCTCGAGTACCTTTATGTGAGCTTGTTTTGTTCCTGCTTTATTAATCCCCAGCGGGGAAACTCATTTGCCACCTGGTCAATTCATACACATGACAAACTATATCAACAGTACAATCACAACGGACAACAAGTAAATAAATAACAAACACCATTGAGACCATTTGAGTCATAATGTACAGCCATGAATCAGAGCCACAACTAAAAATGATCATAAAATATCTGACTGCTGCTTAAAGGTGCACTATGTAGATTTGGTAGTGAAATTTGAAAGTTGGAGAAGTGAAACAAATCTATGCTTTATTTTCTGAACTGAAAACACAAACTTTGAAGAAAAAATGGGTCCCTGGATCACTGTTAAGAGCTTAAAAGCTTCCAGGGGAGTTGCAGGCCCCCCACCATAACTTCTTGCGTAGCATTTTATCTTCAAACAGTGTTACAGGGATCACATTTTCCTCTGAGGACAGTTTGTGTATAGAATCATGAACATAAACCACTGAATCTGTACACTTCTCCAACTTTTAAATTTCTATTCCAAAACTACATAGTGCTCCTTTAAAAAAAAAAAAAAGGACTATTAGGGATTTCACACTTGCAGAAAATCTCTTACTTGCAGAAGGAGTTACTTACCCTAGTAATTTATGCACAGAAAGTCTGAGTGGGCTGATGTGAGAACGCAGCAGGATGTAATGAGGAGAATTCACCTCGAGCGAGAGGATGGAAACGATTACACTCCGTGACTGACAACCATTTTCAAACCGTACAATCTTTAACAATCATGATGAATGTAAAACGTGTTTCTGACAGACGACTGCCACTCTGTCAGACTGTCATTCTCATCATGATCAAATAAAAAAAATGAAATAGTGTGAGTGATCATGAAAAGAAATATCAGCAGTTGTAATAATGAAGTTGTTTATGATCTTTTGGTTGTAACACTTATTTCGTTGATAATCTTCATGTCGAACACTTTTTTAATCCCAGCTCATCGCAGACCGATGACAGATGTTAACAGTCTGTTTAAATGTCCGACGGTCCATTTAGCGTCTTTTTAATGTCCGTCTTTTCTCCGTTATTAAGCTCTGCTTATATTGACAAGTTTTACTGAAGTCTGATCTGCAACTGCGTCCAATCAATGAGTGATATTTGAGACAGGGGCGGGTCTGTCAGTATAAAGTCTTCTGGTAAGACTGGTCTCATTTTTCCTAGATCATAGCTCCTCCGAGTTATGTCCTCGATCCTCGGTGCCAATTTAAGAGGCTTGAGACATCCTTAAAAATGGCGGCACGGAACGACTTCTGGTTCAAGCGAGAATCGAGGAGAGAGGAAACGAAAAATAAGAGACATGAAAAGTACCCTATATGAGATTCAATGAGGCATCACTAGTCGCACACTGAAGGAGTTTGTCATTTCATACATCTACAGATTACACAGTGAGAGGAAATGTTGTTCCTCCAAGACCGTGATGCTACTTAAGACAATAGAGAATTAAGAATTCGGATTTAAAGGTCACATATTATGCAGAATACACTTAACATGGTTTTTCTAACACTAATGTGTTCCTGGTCTGTCTACAAACCCCCCCAATTATGAGAAAAGTCCATCCTCTCCGACTTTTGCCTGTTCCACTTTTCATAAAATGTGTGCTCGGAACAGGCTGTTTCTGTGTCTGTAGCTTTAAATGTAAATGAGCTGTGTCTGACCACACCCCCTCTCTGGAAGGTATGTGGTCCAGGCTTTCTCTCTCCATGTCCTATTGTTTACGGTGAGAAGGCAGACTCAGAGGGCAGAACAAACAACTAGCTGTGGGAGTGTCACCCATCTGGGGGAGGGGTTACTGCCCTTTGTGATGTCATGAAGGGAAAATCTCTAAATGGCCTGTTTGAGTTCACATTTTATGAAAAGTGGAGCAGGCAAAAGACAGAGAGGATGGACTTTTCTCATCATTGGGGGGTTTGTGGACAGACTAGGGACATATATTATTAAATTATCTCTAAGTTAAGGCCTTTGCACACTGAGTCTGCTGCATTTATTTTTCCATTAATAGCGAAAATTTGCAGTATGAGACAAAAAAATCGTATAATCGTGGCCTGGGACGAATAAAGCCACAACTTAAAAACATATCCATCTTCCTCTCCTCCTATCACAGACATTCTCCTTGTCCTGTCAGGCGGGTTTCTAACGTCAACAAAGACAGCAAACCTTCAAACAACCGGCTGAGTGTGGCGGTGCGAGCCCAGCAGAGACACTCGCCTCGTGGGGCCAATGGGGACAGAAGCAAAGCCTCCAAAGGGAAAGAAAAGAAGGAAGCAAAGGAGGCTGCTGGCAAATCAAAGGATGATAAGGTACTGTTTGTACTGTTGATTAAACAGTGTCCTCATGCTGCTCACCCTTACCCAGCCGGTTATTCTAGTTTTTTTGTCTGGGAAAATCCAGACTATGTGTGTTGAATCAGGGAATTAATGTTTTGCTCTGTGTTTCAGAACAAAGCTGACGTGCAGGAGAAAGAAGTGAAAAAGTTTGACGGGACAGGATATGACAAAGACCTCATTGACGCTCTGGAGAGAGATATTATTTCTCAGAATCCAAATGTCAAATGGTAGGTGTTCATTGTTTGTTTTTGTTTTTTTGGCTGTTTGTCCCCGGGTGTTTCTGTGGGATTCAGAGTTGTAAACGCCCTGCAGTTGTACAAGTTGAAGTTGCAGAACCTACCCTATAGCACTTAGTCGCTACCACAATCAGAGCAGCATCGCAAACCTTCAACAGATCCAGGCTACATACATGCAAGCTCCAGGTAGTGACAACGCTGATACTACCTACCCTACCACATGGCCCCTCTTGGCCCCCACAACTCAACCGCGGTGACCAATGGGCAGCAAGAGCCAGGACATCATCAGGGCTGTCAAGTGGGAACCCGTCTTTACCGGTGTTTCGCCCAATTAGTCCCACAACACCTTGAAAAGGCTGATCTGTGAGCTCCAGCGTCCCAGAAAATGAAACTATACATGGCACATTGGCTCGGTAAACAACCTGCATTTATTATGAGCTTAATGTTTGTTGGAGTATAAAAGAGCGGCACCTAGGAAAACATACCATTTTCTGAAATACACACATTTCAAGGATTTCCCTTTCTCGTACGAAGAATCTTAGATGGGCCATAACAAAACTTTCCTCCAGTCGATCCTAACATTTGATTGAAGCGAGTGTCAGCGACAAAATTCAGATTGATTTATAGTTTCCTATTTGAGTGTCCTCACTGCCTATGAGCGAAGCAGTGTGATGATGGGTGTTGTTTTTACCCTGACGCCCCATTTCTGTTTTCCTCTCTGTCGCTCAGGTACCATGATCGAGGCACTGGCACTCTCTCTTCTTACTCAACAGAGCTTGTTAGCTTGTTGTTCAAAGTGGAGATAGAGGTGCTTTAGTAATATCTGACTCGTGTCAAAGCTCCACCCTTCAGTTTGTCAACCTTCAATACAAGAACACTAAATGGTAAATGGACCATATGGCTTATATAGCGCTTTTCTTGTCTTCTGACTACTCAAAGCTCTTTTACACTGCAGGTCACACCTACACATTCACACACTGATGGTAGAGACTGCTGTGTAAAGAGACCATCAGAAGTAACTAATCCATTCATACACCGCCACCGAAGTAACAGGAGCAATTCAAGGTTAAGTGTCTTGCCCAAGGACACATCGGACATGTTGCCCAGCTGGGGATCAAACCATGACCTTCCGGTTGAGAAGTGACGACTCCACCAACTGAGCCACAGCCACCCCTAGATGTCATACTGTTTGCAAAGGGGAAACTAAAATCCTAAAGTATAAATATTTAACGGATGCAGTGAGGAGAGTGAGCGTGTGTTTGCGCGTGATGTGCTGTTAGGACGCGATGTTAGCAGTGTTACTTGTCATTTCTGATTTCTTCCAAACTGTTTTTCTTCAGGGACAACATTGCAGATTTGGAAGATGCAAAAAAACTCCTAAAAGAAGCGGTCGTGTTGCCGATGTGGATGCCAGCGTTTTTCAAAGGCATACGTAGACCATGGAAGGTGTGGACTTCAAGACATTTTTGTCAGATTAGCTGTAATATGTATCATATGTTTAAATCTATTGTTTTCAACTCCAGGGAGTGCTTATGGTGGGACCGCCTGGTACGGGGAAAACACTTTTGGCCAAAGCAGTTGCCACCGAATGCAGAACCACATTCTTCAACGTGTCCTCATCGACTCTGACGTCCAAGTACAGAGGGGAGTCAGAGAAGCTCGTTCGCCTTCTCTTTGAAATGGTAAGTCTTCAGGCACGGGACTCGAGCAGACTCATGGTGCATTCCATTTGATCTCGGAAGTCGGGAATTCGGAGTTGCTGGTCTGATACATCATAAGGAACACCCCCCACTCTGAGAACCTGTTATTTCCTAAAAGGCCTGCACATTAGCCATGGCTAGAAGTCCTATATACATATTGTATATGTTTAATTAGCTTGTTATTTTAGTGTAACCTGCTGAATTTAACGGTTTATATGTTTGTATTGGACAGGGTGACGGTGGCATGAGTGGCTAAGTTTACTGTTTGTTAAACTTTAAAAGCAAAGAAATTTATTGGAATGGAGTAAACTCAGCACTTTCTAGCCCACATTTCTGAAGCCTGGTGTGGAAAAAGTGTACAAAGTAACTCAGAAAAAGCCGGTCTTCTCATTAATATGGCCAGTGAGATGAAATGAGAACAGAGAGCCTCAAACTAAGAAGTCAGCCTTAAGGGGACACTTATATTCTGCCTGAGCTTCATGTCGAACCCCATACCTAACAGCTCGACTGATGGCTGTGACTGTTAAAAGTTTTCTGCACTCTTTGTGTGTTCCTGTACAGGCACGTTTTTATGCTCCCACTACGATCTTCATTGATGAAATTGACTCCATGTGCAGCCGCAGAGGGAATTCAGAGGAGCATGAGGCCAGCCGCAGAGTCAAGGCAGAGCTACTGGTGCAGATGGATGGTATGAAGCCTGTTACATGTTCTTCTCAGATGTTTTCATCAGGTCCTCTATTCACACCTTGTCTTTTGCTTTCTTAAATTTGTGGAAACAAGTCATCTTTACTGTTACGACCAGCCCAGGGGGAAGTGACACTCTCCTTCCTCAATCCCAATGATGAGCCACAATTGAATGAATATTAAGGGCACAATAAGTCATTTATTCAAACTATTCCTCTATTCACACCTTGTCTTTTGCTTTCTTAAATTTGTGGAAACAAGTCATCTTTACTGTTACGACCAGCCCAGGGGGAAGTGACACTCTCCTTCCTCAATCCCAATGATGAGCCACAATTGAATGAATATTAAGGGCACAATAAGTCATTTATTCAAACTATTTACAAAAGTAATCAAACTCAGGAAGAGCACCGGTCTAAATAATGATCATAACATCGAAGTGAAAAACCCCAAACTACCTCACCTCAAATAAAGTTAAGAAAATACAGGCATCTTGCCTCACTCCCTGACAGGAGAAAACCTTTAATCAAAAAAAAAAGGCTTCTCTCCCCTACAACATGATCAGGAAGCCCAGCCACCACCATTGGACTGTGTCGTCCCAACAACCACCGGCGTCCATGCTCGGCCTGCTCCAACAAAATTATGATAGCTCTCAATTTAAACAAAAGCAAAGTTTCTCTCTTTTGGAGGTGAGGAAGAATGCGGACAGCGTACCAGTTTCCGTAGCTCCCTTTGAAAAACTGCCCCCCCCCTCCCTCTGCAATCCTCCAAGAATCTTCCCTCCAATCAGTGGTATTAGCGAAAGGTCCCCCGTTCCAGTTTGGTTAGTGTGCAGGCGATTAGAAGTTCAATGTCCAGTCGAGAATCACTTTTCTTCCTTAAGGTCAGATCATGCAAACAGAGAAACATTTCAAGTTGCATCTCATTGATCTGGTAAAAAAAACTTGTGTCCCTTCTTGGTGCATCACCTCACAGTGACACATCAGCCTTAAGCCCTGTTTCCACCGAGCGGTCAGAATTGGTTCAGTACAGTGTGGTACTGTAAACCCTGATCTTGCTTGCATTTCCACAACCAACTGTACATCACTAAATCACAGCGCGACACAGTAAACAAAGATCAATGAATCTGCTGACAATAGTCACAAAGAACAAAAACAGCCTTGAAATGATATTCTCCAACTCCACAGGATATTTAAACAAGGTGTGTTTTGTGTTTGTCCTTTACGCTTTGTGGAACCGGTAAACTTGGAAACCCAACAGAAGGGTTGCAAAAAAATGGGACGGTACAGATCAGTTGTTTTGGTACCATTCCCAACTTTTGACAGTGGAAACACCAATAAGTGTGTAACGAACTGAACTAAACCGGACCACTTGGTGGAAATGGGGCTTTAGAGCTTGGTAAGGTATTGCCCCTGCTGTTTACAAAGAGAACTAAAAACAAACACAAATGCAAAGAAACAAATATTAATAGATGTTATCGCTCCTACACTGAAGTTATACAATGCAATGCAACATGTGTCAGAATGTAAGCAGTGAAGAAAACTCTTACGATGAATATGTTTCCCCTAAACTTGGTTTTATCCTGTATGTAGGTGTCGGTGGAGCTTCAGAAAATGATGATCCATCCAAGATGGTGATGGTGCTGGCTGCTACCAACTTCCCATGGGACATCGACGAGGCTCTGAGGAGACGGCTGGAGAAGAGGATTTACATCCCTCTGCCTTCAAGTAAGACTATTTCTCTTCAAGCTGAAAATTGGCTTCCTGCCCGCTCTGCTTACTCACCGTTGCATTTATGCTTGCAGCTAAAGGCCGAGTGGAGTTGCTCAGGATCAACTTGAAGGAGCTGGAGCTGGCCACAGACGTGGATCTGGACAAGATCGCAGAGCAGTTGGAGGGATACTCGGGAGCGGACATCACCAACGTGTGCAGGTCAGACATCTCTGTTGGTTTTCAGCCTTTGATAAAGTTCATCTTCATCAAAGTCGCTGTTTCCCAAGCAACACAATAAATGGCTGAAAGGATTGTTGTGTGAATCTGAGCTGGTGTATTAGTAGTTAATGTGCCCCTGTTGAAATCTGTACAAATGAAGGTGTTGTGTGTTGCTGCAGGGATGCCTCTCTGATGGCCATGAGGCGAAGAATTGAGGGTCTCACGCCTGAGGAAATCCGCAACATCTCTCGGGATGAGATGCACATGCCCACCACCATGGAGGACTTTGAGTCGGCTCTGAAGAAAGTGTCCAAATCGGTTTCTGCAGTCGACCTGGAAAAGTATGAAAAGTGGATCGAAGAGTTTGGTTCTTGTTGAAAAACGCGAGGACGTGATCGGTCTTTGCTGGAGTGTGTTACTATGGTTACCCCGAGTTATAGGAAGGTTGTGAGTGTACGGGTGTGGCTGTATGTTTTCTAAATTAAGATGTTGATGAAAGGAAGTTGGTTTGTTATTTTTGGTAAACAAGACGGGCTGTAGTCGTTCAAATGTTATAGTTCAAGTACACAACCAAAGTACTAAACTTTGAGTCGGATAAAACAAGCACTTCAGCTTCAGGACGATTAAGACCTGATTGTTTTTTTAAGTCATACGACTCATTTTGAAGTTGAGCTGAATAACTTTCCCCCCCTGGTCTTACCTGCACAAACAGTGTCTGAAATCACCGTGGCAACAGGAGGCCCGCTCTTTTTGTCACTCTCCCACCACCAGGGATTATATCATTTATGCTAATTAGCTTGTGTTTACTGGTGATGCAGGGTGTGTGAGGGAGTGAGGGAGGGACGGACCAAGTTTTTCCTGCTGTGTGTTGCCAAGTTAAGCCATGCATATGAGATGACCTAAATCAATCTCCGTCTGTGGGAGTTTTCTATTATCAATAGCGAACGACCTGTCCCGACTTAACTCATACAGTGTGAGCTCTCAGGTCCGAGAGTGTGAGTACATGAATTGTGAGCTTTGGTTGTGCGTCGTAATGAAATAATAATAAAAAGCCCTACCTTGTCAGTGGCAAAAACACAAGCTTTTAGTGAACATGATTTATACTTTGATCGGTAGAATTCGACCTGAAAGATTATCTCGCAGCTGCAGCTTGTGAACGAAACAATCTACTGGAGCGATTCACAAACATTCTTCCAGGTTTGAAAAAGAGACAATGGGTCTTCACTCTGATTGACTTAGGTCAACGAGTTAAACCGGTAAATTAGAGAAACCAAGATTCCTGATTTCCAGAGAGGACAACCAAAGTGTCACAAATCAATCAAATGAGACACCTGTTTGTTTGTTTGTTTGTTTGTTTGATTGTGTTTTGATGCCTTGGATTTTATTTGTGGTTTGCTGATGTAAATACTTTTGAACATTAACAAAATAATTCTCTAAATAAAGCTGACATTGATCATAAACTTTAACAGATAAGTTTATTATAAAAGAAATAAAGATATTCTTGAAACGTTCACGTTTGTAACATTGTGCTGCTGAACCATCAATAACTGTTGGTTGTGAGTGGTTGTCATGTTGATCAACATCTTCGGGACGACGTTGTTCATCCTTCAAACATATTTGACTGTCTCACCAGACATTGTCAGCACACATTTTCAAAGTGACCTTTTAGACTGTGAACAACCTAACCAGAACATTTTCAAAGAACACAATCATGTAGAAGAGGGTCTTAAAACATGAGAACGTCTCTCTGATGACAGCAGAACAAACGGGTACTGTACATAGAAGAGGGGAGCGTTTCAACCTATCCCTCAGTCTTTTCGAGGTTATATTTTTTGGAGAAGGTTCCTGGTTTGAATCCCTTGTCTGACAGTCCACTTATCATTTTAACAACAGAAAGATTTTCATTTGTCCAGAATCATTTTTTACATCCATTCCAGGTAACAAAAGGTTATCTGATAATATCGGAGTTTAGTCTAAAGACTGTCAAACAGACATCAGTTGTTTAACTGTTTTATTTAAACCTGATGTCTTTAAGGGGAAGAGAAGAGCACCAGCCCATCGCGACCCCCTAATGGGAAAAAACAGTGTAGATAATGGATGGGTGGAAGTTATATCTTGTACGTATATTGGATAGGATAGCTTAAGAGAGACAATAAATGATGGGAGGAGATAGTGGGGGATGGCATGCAGCAAATGGCCGAGGTCAGATTCAAACCCAAAGGCCAACAGCCTCTGTACATTCGGCACGCCTTATCACTCATCCTTTGCAACATTTAATTGATTAGTTACAAAAAATAAAAATGTACAAGAGCCTCACTTACGATATTGTTTAAAAGGACATTCATTCATACTGACCGTTGGATGGACAACCAGGAAACTGACAGACTAAATAAAGATGTGTGAGAAGCGTCACTCATCAGGAATCTGTCTTCAAATAGACGAAACTCTGCATGTGAACTGCTGTGTACCTACGCCATGCTGAGCTCTGTGCCTTGACTCCAGAATAGAGGCCGTCTTCAGCTGGCCAAAGACAACGCATCAAGTGTTTGCAGCGTCTCTCTCACACACACACACACACACACAAAATAAGCAGACTGAGGAGGCATTATAGTCTTAAGGAAAGCATTTAATCAGCAGGATTTCCACCCGATCACAGTCCAGCTGTTATTCATACTATTTATCATCACAATGTCTCAAAAGAAAGTAACACGAGTCGACCAACATTTCAACAAAGAACAAATTAAAATATACAGAATAGTTTTTCTTCAGAAGAAAATCTGACATCATGCCTTACAGGCTCATTTCTTTTCATCTACAGCACTTTTGTTGTTTTCAGTCAATCAATTCGAGGCTGATCCAAATTCAGGTTTAGCTGTTTTGCGTCATCATCATGCAGCTTCCTAGTTTCTTTTTTTTTTTTTTTGGATTATTGTATACTTTGCTGATTGAACAGCGCAGAGCATTCACTAGCTAGACTACACATGCACCTCTTGCTGTTACAGCACATCATGCACTCTGCAGGTTAACTGGACCTCAGGGAGGCACAAGCAACACTTCTGCTGCTCCGAGGTTTCACAAACAGGACGTTTGCATGACAATTTTAAAATAATCAGTGAATCAAACCTCCGCTCCTTTGACCAGAATACTGCTTTGTGCCCACCTGCTTGGTTCCTCGCACGCCGCCTCATGAAAACTAGCCACGCACACACACACACACTAAAGCCTGTTTGACTCCATTCACACCAAGGTGCAGATTATTTCCAATCGGTAATTTCTTGAGATACACATCAGTCCAGTAATAGTGATTTATCTTATACATGTTTAGAGTGCATAGACAATCTGAACAACCTCACATACATTCTCCATTATTAGGAACAGGAAACCACACGCTGAATAAGTCGAAAGAAAGAATTCAAAATGACAGTTTTTCTTTTTTCATAGATCTCCAAAAGTAGCCAGAGGCACCGAGAAGAGAGACAATCATTAAGTGAGCCTCAGAAGTGGACAGCTGAGTTTTTTTTTAAAGTGGTGACATTCAGAGGTTTGGAAGAGAGGAAAACAGCTGATACTGAACGTGTGCACACAAAAGTCGTTTTTCGCATCTGGCTCGTGATCATCTTCTACAGACGAAAAATAACTAACGCATCTGCCCATGACATCAGATTGAGAGATGATGGCTTAAAGTCGTCTTCTTCCTTCACTTCACTTCACGGAGGACAGAGAGGGGCAACTGTCTGCCTCAATAAATAAAGAAATGTACTCGATGAAGATTCAGTTACACTTCACATACTCCGTCTCAGCAGTAGGGAACAAGTTTGGAAAGAAAAACAAAACAAACAGTGTGACCTGTACAGAAGTGCTACATGTAGAAAGTTGTTTGTTTTTTTGGTGAATTTAAAGACGTTGACGTCATTGGATCGCTCCCTGAAATACTCAGTTTGTTCATATTCATGTGTTAATCCGACAGTCTTTACATATCTCTCTCTGTTTTTGTGAAGGTTTTGGTGACAACAGCCAACTGAAAAAAAAAAACAACAGTCTCACCACAAAGTGCTTCTAGTAGCTTTCTTTGAAGCTCTTAATTTGAGGAACTTCGAGTTGCTCAATCGGCCTTTTTCCAGTTTTATTCATGTTTTGCTAAAATGAGTTGCATGTTTTGCTCTTTATTCCTTTCTTGCTCAGAGTTTGGGGATGAATGACTTCCTGTAAACTCGACCAGTGTCAGGCAATCCCAATCTCACAATAATAGTGCTTTCACACCTGCAGAAAACTCGTGAAATTCTTGGAATATTTCCTGGAGGAGCTGTATGTGTGAACGCAATCAGGAGAATAACTTCACCTGGAGTTTCTCCTGCCAGACTCCTAGAATAATGAGATGAATGCCCCACTCAGCAGTGGCTGTGGTTCAGTGGTAGAGTCTCTCTACTCTCTCAGACAAGGTCAGGGATTGATCCCCAGCTCCTGCAGTCATTGGGCAAGACATTTAACCCCAAGCTGCTCTCGCTGCTTCATCAGCGATGTATGAATGGATGAGTTAATTCTGATGGACTCTTTACTCAGCAGCCTCTACCATCAGTGTGTGAATGTGTAGGTGTGACCTGCGGTGTAAAAGAGCTTTGAGTAATCAGAAATATACAAGCTCAAGTCCATTTACCATTTACTCAGGTCAGTTAAACAACTCAAAGTCTGAGAAAAACCTGCAGACAGACATAAAATGTCATTTTTACATTTTGAGTATTTTATTGTTTATAATTAGTTTGAAACAAAGGTTGTAACAGTTCAGACGTTGCTGTCTGCATGGATTAATCTGGATTATTTCTGAGCTATAGAAAAGAAAACACATGTTGCTTGTAGTGAACGAGTCGTTTTCACGTTATGACTTGAAGCTCATATTCACCAGATTTGGAAAAGGAGGAGCGTGTGAATGCAGAGAAACCCTCGGCAAGAAAGGAAGATGCCTGCTCAATAAGTTGACCTTCGCCTTCAAAAGCAGAAAGTTCAAAACGTGTAATCATGCATGAAGAACGGCTACAAGAGGACCTTGAGGTGAGATCGTTTTTTTAACCATCTCTAAAGGAACGCCACATAGCAGTGTCATGTGTTTAAAGTGAGTAAAGGAAAAAGTACTTAGGGTAATTTTCCAGTTAAAAGGGATTTGTTTCTTTAAAAGGCAAGGGAAAAAAGAGCGGTGATTAAATAAAGTGGCTAGCCTTGAACTCTGTCTCGTTTTAAAAAGTTTGACGTGTAAACTACGAGCTGGTACACGCAGTGCGGGCGTACCACAGCTCAACCCTGAAACAGTGCTGTGACAGCTGACATCATTAGAGACCCAACTGGAGAAACATCCTACAAACCTTTCCCTCGACTAGCAACTCACCAACTAAATCATTCAGGTCAATCGGGTGGCTGAAAACACGTCCTTTTTTTCTACAAGTTGTTTTTAAAGGAAGAAGTGAAGCTGCCATCAAAACCAGGCCATGCTAACGACATAACAGTAACCGCGGTGAAAGAACGAATAAGAACAAACTGAAAAAAATTAACGGAGCTTGCGAGGTCAATCCTCACTCAAGGCTTCTTCTCGTCTTCCTCTGCTTCCATTTCGATGCTCTCCAGAAGGTTGTGCTTCTCCTCCTCTGGCATCAGAGTGGCGGGGTTTATGTGGAAAATGTGCCTGAAAGAAAAGAAGACTTCAGTAAAACCAAAAAACAAGAAGGACAACTGGTGCTCAGGGTGGCTGGGAGGGAGACTACAGGATAAAGTTAACTGCTCTTAAACATTAATACAACCTTAGGGGGGGAAAGCCACCGGGCTATACACTTAGAGACAAAGATTAAGATAAAGGTGGAGTCAGAATGTTTGTTACAGTTTGTAAACACAACTATCAAACTGGGCTCCTCCTCCTGGACTCACTGTCTCCAGAGGCGCACCCTCACTGCAGGACGAAGCGTGTACATTTACTGCTCGTACCTTCACTGCAAGCTAATACACGCTAGCAGAAACTAACCACCGGTGCAGAAGCTCGGTGTTTGGCCTCATTTTGATTATATTTTCTCTTCTTTGCCGCTACATCCACGTCTGTCATGTTTACCACTAAACTCATTCGCGTGCTGTCATTGGCTGAGAGGAAACACACAAGCTTCCCACCCAGAAACGTCCTGAGTCAACCAATATTCTGAAAATAAACCAGATGTTTTAAAGGAGACATATTATAAAAAATCCACTGTTAGTGTTTTAAACATATATTTGGGTAACCTGAGTGTCTACTGACCCACAAAATGTGAAATAAACCCATCCAGTCCTTTATTTGTGGTCTGCATAAGTCTTACAACACAGAGAAAAATGCTCTCCTTGTGATGTCACAGTGGGATTCTGGAAAAAAAATCCCCTCCCCTCCCCCGATATCTCCACCCATGGACTCCACCCCCAGTCTAGAACAAAACTTTTGTGCAGGTCCGCCATTTTTTATTCTCGCAACAGAGGAGTGATGTCTACCTGGAAAACTCGGGGGGGGGGGGGGTCATTACATTTAAAGAGACACACACACCAAAACGGAGCATTCTGAGAGAGCTGGTTTATACAGGGTCACAAACCTCCTCTGGTGCTTGATTCAAGTTATATTTTGACCAAAGCACAGCACAGATGTTTCATTTAGACCACAGGAGGACTGTTTGAAAAGATGGAGAAGGGGGATAATATGTCCTCTTTAATGTTGTTATGGTCTCTGTGGTGAATTGATACGTTGTTCGCCGGCATCCTGCAGAAATAGAAACCTTGCGTATCTGCTGAGTCAGGACTGCCGGAGCTGAGGCTGCCGTGTCGGAGCGTACACGGACATGCATCTGGTTTAATTTAGCAGTTATTCAGACACTTAGATGTTATGTAAATATATACTGGTCTAATTCATCCTCCAGGCCCTGTGATAACATAAGTAGACCTCCCCTTCTACGGATCTTTGCTTTGATTAATTATCAGTATTTTGAATATCAGGTCTCTCAGGTGATCATTTGGTGAAATAATGATTTTAGAAAAGAAACTTACTTGTGTTCACAAGCTGGGAAGAACATGTCCAAGATCTTGACGATGACCGCTGATCCAACGACGCCGATCACCACCACCCACATGACCAGGAAGAACAGAGGAAGTGACTCAGAGCAAAAGCGCCTCAGACGCTCTCTCACCTCCTCCACCCACTGACACATGGCCTGAAGACAGGACAAACAAGGACATGTGAGCATTACCCAAGAAAAGAAGACGCTGCTTCAGCTTTAAGCACAGCTTCCCAAAGTGTTTCATTAGTAGTTCATCAGTACTGAAGCAGAAAATGTTCCTGCATCCTAAAATCTATCTTCTCCACAGACCACTTTATGAAAACATCATTTAAACTGCTCACAGAACATTGTGAAGTTAACACTCTTGAGCAGTAGGTACTGTGTTACATAAACTAGCTCGAGCATCAGATTTGGCTTACAGAGTAAGACGATACGAGTTCTTTTGGCGGAGACTCCATCTGAATTGGATCGGTCTGGCTCGTCTCTCTATCTTCAAATTCATCATCATATCTGACATCGTACAGCAGGTCGGGGTCCATTCGGAGGGGAGTCTCTGGGAGCTTCCCCGGCGCTGCAATCTCCTCCTGGGTGGTCTCTGTTTGCTTCAGGGAGTACTGGCTGGTGGTCTGAGAAATCAGCTGTTCTTCGTCTGATTTAAGAGAAGAAGAAAGTGCCTGATAAGACTGCTGTAAGGTTACTGAACAACAACAACTAGAGAGAAAAGAAGACGGCATGTTTTGGTACCTTTTCTACGATTTGGTGGATCTGTGACGACAACATCGTTCTCCCGGGGAACCCTGAAGATCTCGCTGTGTCCGATGGGGTAGATATTGGTGAACTGAGCCAGCTTCTGAAAATCTGGGCTCATCAATATTTTCACCTCACACATCTCAGGCTGCTGGACCTAAATAATCCCAGACACAGTAATATGAGCTCACACATTAATACGTCCGGTCCACATCCTGTTACACTGCATTTGAAATGATCTGTGATAAAGAAACGTCAAACAAAAACAAAACTTCTATATCCTGTTGACTTGAAACTTTAAGACAGACAGCTGACCATTTTTTAAATGATAGACACTCAGACACAGCTTAAAGCTAGCTCGTTGTTTGTAAAGTAAATCCAGCTGGAAACAAACAACAAACAGTAACTATGTTTATATATGCATTAGTGATTGGGTAAGATGGTCGGTCGTATTTGAATCAGTGTGAAAACTCAGTGATAGACACTTTACCTCTTTGCCCTCCATCTCTATAACTTCACTGAACACCTGCAGAGCCACCACCTCCTCCGAGTCGCTGTACAGGCGGTTCTGGCTAACCATCACCCGGGTAACGGTCGACACCAAGTCCCCAGATTCAAAGTCGCTGCTCCCGTTTATGCTGTCCACTGGAAAGACACAACTCTTTGTATTCAGTGTATGTCATGGATATGTCATCCAATTCTCACACTGTTTGATGATGAATGCATAAATACGACATCAGTCATTCAGCCAATGGTTGTTTTAATTAAGATTTAAAGGAGCATTATGTAACTCTGACACCTAGTGTTTAAAACGGGTAATGCAGTCCAAATTCTAAACATCAGAGAGAGGTGTCTCCCTCCACCCCCTCCTCCTCTCTGGAGTCAATACTCACACAGGTTGTCATGTCGCAGACACTGTATCTTCAGTGTTTATCCAGCTCTGCATGGGTCTGTAAACCTTTCTGTGTTCTAACCTCTCTCCATTTTTCAAAATCATCTCCAATATTGATCCTAGTTTGAGTACGTTTCTCCTCGTGGAGCTTCTTAGAAACATGCAGAGGCATTTTAGGTCAGGTACAATCACTTCTATCTGAACCACTTCTCTTCCATCTCTGCAACACCTGTTGGTTTGACCTGATAACTGCTCTCATATCTGACAAACTGAGGGCAAGCTGAGTCATAGAAACTAATCAGAAGAAGTACCGGTAGATCATTTCCTCAGGTGTACATAAACTAAATAATTTGACACCCAAATTAAAGCTCTCTCAAAATCATTGTAGAAGATATTCATTTATTGTTAGAAATTACTTTAGTATTTTGTTTACTAATGTTGGGTGTTGTTGTTTATTTAGTTATTCTTAACGTTTACTTTATTTAGAATAGTTGGTCATAACGTTTCTTTTGCTAGTTATTTGTGTAGCTAATTTAGTTTTACATAATCACAATTTTTTTATTTTTTCGGAATTTGGGTAACACTGGGGGCAGCCGAGGTTATATAGGTCAGAAGGCAGGTAGAGGACCAGCATGCACATGGTGGGTCTATGGGTTTTTTTTTTTTACCAGCAGGAGCCGTAATTTTCTTTGTCCTTTTGTTTGCCGGTTTAAAGACTTAGGGCACAGTTGGCTCAGCGGTTAGGTCGAGCCACATTAAAGAAGGCCATAGTCTTTTGAGCAAGCTGCCAGGGTTCAAATCCGACCGGCGATTCCTTTCCCACAAGTCAATCTGAGCTCTCGCTCTCCCCAGTTTCCTACTCTAATCCACTGTCCTCTTGAATATAAGCAAAAAGCCCAGATCTAAAATATACTTTTAAAAATTCAGACTGTCTGGGCACGCCACAACCCCACAGTGGCCTTTTGATTATGTTAAAAGTTGTATTCAGATTTTTCTGACCAATAGCCATTACAAGCATAAAAATGAAAAAAACAAACAAACAGATTGATCACAATAGGTTTAAAAAACTCACATAGAAGAGCCTGACAGGTGAACCTGGTGACCCCCGACAGCTCTACAGGGATGTCATTCACCAGCACCTGTTCGTCACCCACTGATATATTTAAGTTGATCTGAAAGGAGACATAAACACGTTCAGGTTCAGATGGCTGTATTTAGAAGACTTCATGCCCTGTGACTACATTTTATAAATTGGTGTACCTGCAAGTTGTTGGAATCGTGTAACTCTGTATCCGCCAAAGTCCCTGCTGTCACGTTGATCAGGATGTTTTCCTGTAGAGATCAATACATAAATACATGAAATAGCATTTCACTACACAATGTCTTCAAAGCTAATGCCAGAGACGGAGCATCTCTGCTAATGCTATGCTAACATCTATCTCATCGGCTGAGCACTTTTATTTATGTATTTATTTACATCCGCTTTGAGTCTTACCGTATTCAGTTGCCTGGGCGGTGACTCTGTGCTTGTTGCTGAAGCAAAAAGAAGACATAAAACGCTCAATGTAAGGCCTGCCATTTCCATTTTGTGTTCACTTGTTTTACCAGCAGCAGGACCCTTAAAACAAAAACGTTGAGCGAAGGCGTATGACCGCGCATGCGCATGATGCTTTGACGCAACATCATCGCGAGATCACAGACGCCCAATATGACAAGATCCCACGAGTTTGAATATTACCTATAATATTGATATAATATTATTATTTATTATAATATATATATTATTAATTATTAATTATTAATTATTAATTATTAATTATTATTATTATTATTATTATTATTAATAATAATAATAATAATAATAATATAATATTAATATATATACAATATATAGTATATAATATAATATATAATATATATAATATACCTATAATATTACCACGTATAATATTACCTATATTAAAAATATGAATATGTAGTGTATGGTAAACCCCTTAATATGTTCAATCTTTGATAAAACACTGAGTATGTACAGTCTTTAGTAAAACCAAGGAAGCGATAGGGAAGGTAGAACAGTGGTCATATCAATCACTCAATCAAACTTTATTTATATAGCACCTTTTAACAAGAGTGCAGAAAAGTTATTGACAAAAAGTAGTTTATAAAATCATTGAGAGACTATCATTGAGAGACTATCATTGAGACACTAATGCACACCAATAAGAATGAAAAAATATATAAAAGAAAAGAAAAGAAAATATGACACATAAAAGCAACAACATATTAAAATAAATACATAAGAGGAAAATATTTAAAATTGTAGTAGGATAAAAAAGACAAAACAAGAATGTTAAGATTTGAATTTATATAAAGCACTATATAAAAGCCAGACTGAATAAATTAGTTATTAGTTTTGAGGGACAAAAAATGACTAAAGTACCAAAAAAAAAAAAAGTTGGGAGAAATGCATACAATAATGTATAAATAAATATATAAATGCTGAAAACAATACATCAATTAATAAATAATGAATACACTTAATGAAAAAGGCTATTTATATATTTTTACATGTATTTATTCATTTATTAGCATATTTCTACAGTTATATATTTATCAATGCATACATTTCCACATTGAGTTATTAATTTATTTCCGTATTTTTACATTTACACATCTATTTATTTCTGTGTCCAGGTTGTAAGAGGAAAAGTATATATGTAAATCTGCTTCTGTCTGTTTTTCAAAATTGACCAGTCCTACTTCAGTAATGTTAGGACGGCACACTTAATTTACATATTTACTTTTCCTTGTACGACATGGACACAGAAATACATAAATACATATATGAATATATTATTTTTTTTTAAATATATTTATTGATGCATTTATTTAATTATTCATTTATTTATACATTATTGTATGCATTTCTCCCAACATTTATTTATTTATTTATACTTTAGTCATTTTTTGTCCCTCATACTTTTCGTGGTACCTACAGTCTTAAATGTACTATGGGAGGTAGAGCCTTCAGCAATAAGGCCCCTCTCCTTTGTCAACAAACGGAAATAACAGAACATATTATCATTCACTCTCAGAAGTACGAGTTTATTTTTCTTTTCTAAATTATGGTATAGTTCCCGATCCACACTCAATACCAGTAGATGGCGGTAATGCGCCAATTCGTTGTTTGCCTACCACCATTAAACACCAAAGAAGAGAAGAGGAAGCTCGCAGACGTCAGCATGGCGGTGCTCCTTGAAACTACGCTGGGCGATATTGTTATTGATTTGTTTACAGATGAACGACCGAAAAGTAAGAAATTAGATCTTGATCGGCTGAAAGTCGTCTAATTTAATTCACCTGTCGCTGTAGAAGTTAGCTGTTTACAGGATGAATCACAGAACGATTAGGTGCTAGCTAAGACTGTTAGCAACATTTATTCACACGCTACAACACTGAATAATGTAAAAAAAAAGTAATATATATTTGATTCCCTTGTTAAGTCTCGTCACTTATATCAGGGCTTTATAGACACTACGCAGTGCAAGTGTAATGTCTGTGGATTGACTTTTAACCTCTGCTCTCTTTCTTATACAGCTTGCCTCAACTTCCTAAAGTTATGCAAAATAAAGCATTACAACTACTGCCTCATCCACAATGTTCAGGTGAGACTTCATGTAAACCTCTGTAACAAACTTATTCATTCATTTAACGTGTTTTTAAACCATGGTGCACTCTGACTGTCCTGAAGAGGGCGCTATAATCACAGAAAAATAGTTTGTTTATGACTTACCATAAAACTTTCCACTAAAACCCATCAATCTTTATTTGTATAAAGCCAAATCACAGCATGTTTTCTCAAGACACCTAACAAACGAGCAGGCCAAAGACTTTACTCATTGTTAGTTTCACAGTAATTCATCTAAATTAGCTCTCTTTCTGAGCTCCATATCACAGACCTGTAGCAATAATTAAAGCCTCCTAAAACCAATATTCTTTATTTACATTAAGTTACATCTCTTAGTTCTTGAATTCATTATACTTTGAGTGACAGTTTGGAATTATTTCCATTTGATTCATTTAGCACCTCCGTAAGTAAAATAAGTATTGTGACAAAAATCATCATAAAATATTATGGTTCATTGTCTTTCTAAATCTGTCCAAGCATTTAAAGGTCACATATATTCTCCTCCTCCTCAAAACATGTGTGTGAAGTTTCTTGTTCTAAATCCACTCTGATCCTGTATTTGATCATGACTATAAACCCCTCTATTTCAGTCCTGCTCAGAACAGGCTGTTTCTGTGTCTGTACCTTTAAATATGTAAATGAGCTGTGTCTGACCACGCCCCCTCTCTGGAAGGGCTTGGGTGTCTCAGTCTTTCTCTCTCCATGTCCTATTGTTTACGGTGAGAAGGCAGACTCATAGGGCAGAACAAACACCTAGCTGTGGGAGTGTTACCCACCTGGGGGAGGGGTTACTGCCCTTTGTGATGTCATAAAAGGGAATATCTCAGCCTGTTAGGGCTTTTCTCATCGTTGACTAATGCCAATCATACACCACCACCGAAGCAGCGGGAGCAATTCGGGGTTAAGTGTCTTGTCCATGGACACATCGGACATGTTGCCCAGCTGGGAATTGAACCCTTGACCTTCCGGTGGAGAGGCGACGACGCTACCAACTGAGCCACAGCCGCCTGACCGGGGGGGGTTTGTAGACAGACTAGGGACTCATACTAGTGTTAGAAAAACATGGAGAAGTGTATTTTGCACAATATGTGACCTTTAAAGACTGTTGGACATTTTTACACTGTTATATATTTTGTTATTTATTATTTCTCTTCCAATCAGAGAGACTTCATCATGCAGACTGGAGATCCTACTGGGACCGGAAGAGGAGGAGAATCTGTCTATAGGTCAGTCACACACATCACAAAGCAGCTGTTGACATGTCTTTGTTTTTTTAAACCACATGCTGAACTCTGAAAAATGTTCTCTCCTCTGTTTGTTCAATCAGCAAACTCTATGGGGACCAAGCACGCTATTTTGATCGAGAGAAAGTACCACGCATCAAACACAGGAAGATGGGGACGGTGTCAATGGTGAACAATGGAAATGACCAGCACGGTTCCCAGGTGAAATAAGCTTCTGCAGAAATAGGCATTAAATGCGTGATTGACTGTTTTACATGATGGGAGACAGGTAGTAAAAGATGGGAGAGCAATGTAGATGCAGAGTTAAGGGAGGTTGTCGGCTGTGGAGACCAGATGGTGTTTGAGAAGTCTTTTAAACAAGTCCAAGGATGGGGCATTGCGGATGTCTTTGACATGGTGTGGACTGCAGGCCAGGGTCTGAGTACCAGAGGTTTCAGGGCATGGTGTGTGGGTGTAGGAGGTCGCAGAGAGAGGACATAAGTGAGGAGGAGTATTTAGTATTTGATTCAGGATCTACTTGGGAGTCAGTGGAGGTGGATGACTGCACATGTCCACAAAGTCCACAGGAGGGGGCCGCAATCTCTCTCCGGAGTGTACCAGCAGCACCACTACGCTCTGCTCCATTTCAGATACGCTCTGGGTCTATTTTTGACGAAGTTCGCTACAAGCACACGTCAAGCTTGACATAATAGAACGACCCCGAATGTTACAATGTTACAATTCACTTAGCAGATGCTTTTATCCAAAGCAACATACATCAGAGAGTAAGTACAACACTAATCCATTCATACACCACCACAGTAGCAGCGGGAGCAATTCGGGGTTAAGTGTCTTGCCCAAGGACACATCGAACATGTTGCTCAACTGGGGATCGTACCCTCAACCTTTCGGTCAAGAGGTGACAACTCTACAAACTGAGCCACAGCCACTGAATGTCATCATTACATCAAAACAGGCACTGAATGAACAACAAATCAACCTCAGAAAGACAAAGCAACATTTTGCTTGTTCGTATTTCTCATTATTCCCACGTGATCTTGTTCTTCTCATGTGATCTTGTGAACCCGTGTGTAAAGCTGCTCATGGCTGTGATCACGCTCTCGGACTATGTGGAAATCGGCAGTGAGGGTTAGGGTGGCGCGCTGCCACGGCTTGGTGAGGGTGAGGACGCTGTCAGTGGACCTCTGGACATACTGGAGCCTGTCTGGGGCTTTGCTGGTGACCCAAGACAGGACTCCATTACAGAGGTCCAGACAGGAGATTATGATACTTAAAACATGGTAAACTTCACAATGACACAGAAATCAGAGATATCGTAGATGTCGTATCAATTCGTATAAATACTTGAAGCATAACTAAAATATATTTTCAGATCATCTGTTCCCCGCAGGATGTGTTACATGATGTGCTCAATCTTGTCGCCAGTTCCTCATCACCACAGGCGAGAACTTGGACTATTTGGACGGGGTCCATACTGTGTTTGGGGAAGTGACCGAAGGCATGGACGTCTTGGCCAAAATAAACGAGACCTTTGTGGACAAGGACTTCATCCCATTTCAGGATATCAGGTGAACTGATGCTTCATACTTCAAAAAGAGCCAGAGTGTCTCAAAATGCTTATAATTTGAACAAAAAAAATCAAAGGACAAAAATCCTACCATAATCAAATGAGCGTTATTTTTGCTGCAGAATAAACCACACGGTCGTCCTCGAAGATCCTTTTGATGACCCTCCTGACTTGCCGGTGCCTGATCGATCACCGGAACCCACCAAAGAGCAACTAGATGTGAGTGAAAAGCCGCTGTTCATTCATAAAGAAAAGCTCGATTGAGGTGTTTTTACATCCCGACTTGAGAGTCAAAATGTTTTAATATGAAAAACATAAAGTATTCATCAGGCCTCATCAGGCAACTTAAACAACTAGCAAATGTATAAAACAGGAACGGTACGGACTGCCAAAAGAGCTACAGCAGGTTCTGCCGTGTGTTTGCAGAGTGGTCGAATTGGAGCGGATGAAGTCATCGACGATACCGACGGGAAAGCAGCCGAGGAGTTGGAGGAGAGGTTGAAGGAGAAGGAAGCCAAGACTCAGGCCATCCTGCTGGAGATGGTGAGAAGAAAACCGATCTCTGACATCAAATGATTTCAGTGATGCAGACATTTGTACTCCACTCTGTCATTCCTTCTTTCCTTGAGGTGGGCGACCTTCCTGACGCAGACATGAGGCCTCCAGAGAACGTTCTGTTTGTGTGCAAACTGAACCCTGTGACCACAGACGAGGACCTGGAAATTATTTTTTCTCGGTTTGGGCTGATTAAAAGGTGACTGATCTTGTCAGTATAGATTTAAAAAAATATACAAAACTTTATACCAATGCTACACGGGCCTTAGCAGATATAACACTGCAGAACACAAAGAATAACTTCTACTCTTTCATGTATAAATGACTCTAACAGCTTCGTATTCTTTAATGAAATTGTTTGTGTTTTGTTCAGCTGTGAAATAATCCGAGACTGGAAAAGTGGAGATTCCCTTTGTTACGCGTTCATTGAGTTTGAAAAGGTGAGTTTGAAGTTGCACGTTACTTGTCTTAACATAAGCTGTTTTCACATAAGCACTCCGGAAAAATATCTAGATCATTTCAGGAGGCCCAACTCCGTGGCCCTTAACAGCCAATCAGAGAGATTCCTCTAACCAACTGCGCCGACCTACGCCGATTGGAAAAAAAGGCCGACGGGTAGTGATGGAGCTGACTTGGACTGACGACCAACCAGGGTTATGTCTCTCATCACTGTCTGTCTGAGTTCCTCTCTGTCTGACTCTCTGCAGACTGTGAACGTCTCTCTGGCTCGTTAAACGGTTTCTTGTGTCGCTATCTGAGATGTAAACTTAACTGTGCAAACTATGCAGAAAAGTTAACTGTTGCCCGACGACCAACGATCTCCTCAGTGTGTCAGGGCCTTTACACGTTACATTGGCTGCTTTTTATTTGTGAAGCACTTGCTGGTAATTTAAGTGGCTTGATAATCATTATCAGACTCGATCAAGGGGCCGGCTTATGTTGGAGGTTCCATGAGTGACCACTAACTCTGAGTTACATCCTTCACCTCTTTTTGCTGCACACACCTGGAACACCTTAGAAAACCCAGATTACAAAGTCCTGTGCTCATGAGTGGCGGTCATTCAGGGCAGCTGTGGCTCAGTTGGTAAAGTCGGACGTGTCTTAACCCGAAGGTCAAGGGTATAATCCTCAGCTCCTGCAGCCACATGTCAGATGTGTCCTTTGGCAACACACTTAACCCCAAGCTGCTCCTGCTGCTTCCTCTTAGGGTTGTGAATGGATTAGTTAATACTGATAGACTCTTTACTCAGCAGCCTCTACCATCAGTGTGTGAATGTGTAGGTGTGACCTGTGGTGTAAAAGAGCTTTGAGTAGTCAGAAGACTAGAAAATAAATATACAAGCTCAAGTCCATTTACCGTGAATGTAATTGTTTTTAGCTGTAGTCTTACATTCTCTTTGACTTATTTTCCAGTGTTTTTGTCTTTGTTGTTTTTGTCATCTGTATCACCGGTTCTCTCGAGGGTTTGCTCTCAATGATTTCTCGAGATTAACTAAAGGTTGAACGAATGAATCCCAGTCAGACGATGTATGAACATTAGAAGTGTTCCTGATCTGGTGACGTTGCATGTCTTAAATCCAAAACCAGTTTGTCTTAATGAGTCAACAATCCCACAACTTATTGAGCAGATTGAGGTGTCGAGTGATGGTCCTCGATCTCATGTTGAAATAAAACTCATCAGAGTTGTGCGTTCAGGTTGTTCTCTGTCTTTACAGAACTTTTTTATTTGTACAGCACATTTCATACAAACGTAAACTCAATGTGCTTTACAGACGACACAAATAAACAAACAGGTTTTTTTTTGTTTTTTTTAATGCACGTTTTAAATCCAAAACACAAAAGGAAGGACCCAGTACCATCCCATACAACACACACAAACATACACCTGTGTCTACTAGAACACACACACACACACACACACACACACACACACACACACACACACACACACACACACACACACACACACACAGAGGGAGTTGGTAGAGTCGTCGTCTCTCAACTGGAAGGTAGAGGGTTAGATCTCCAGCTCCTGCAGCCACATGACCAATGTGTCCTTGGGTAAGACACTTAACCCCAAGTTGCTGTTGCTGCTTCGTCGATGGCGTACAAATGGGATTAGTTAATTCTGATGGTCTCACTACATATCCATCAGTGTGTGGCTGTATAGGTGTGACCTGTGGTGTAAAAGAGCTTTGAGTAGTCAGAAGACTAGAAAATAAATAAATAAGCTCCAGTCCATTTATCATTTACACACAGATAAACTAGATGCCAAAGGCACGAGAGGAAAGCAATCATTTAAGACCGCTCTTAAAAGGTCTTTAAGATTCTTCAGCAGAGCGTAACCATGGTGACTAAACACTCCTTCAGCTGACTTACTTTTGACTGGAGGTAAAGTCAGCAGACCAGTACCTGGTGATCTGAGTGAGCCGGTCAGAAAGAAAATGCTTTCTAAAGCTTTGTTTTATATCCAGTGAATGTGAAGGCCTGCAGGATGTGAAAAGAGGAAATATAAAAGGACAGACAGGTTAATGGCTGTCGTGATGGCGTGATTCTATTCATTGCATGGGCCGAGTGTTATTATAGAGAAGTGAAAGTTCTAACCGAGCGATGTATTTACCATACACATGGACCAGCGAGCCGTCCATCAAAGGTCATCAAAAGGTTTTTATGACTTGAGTGTTGTGAAATGTTCCCTGGTTTATGACACCCCCAACAATAACGCAGTCACACGACCTGAGGAGTAAAAGGGGAATTCCTGTGTTGACCTGTGTTTAAACCAAGCGGGTCGGATCAGTTCTGTACGTTTCCACTGTCAAAAGTTTGGAATGGTGCCAAAATAACAGATCCGTATCGTCCTACTTTGTTGGTACCCTTTTGTTCGGGCGCCAAGCGTACCAATCTGACCCCTAAAGGGTGGAGCTAGACACACTGCCGTCCATTGATTGGTCAAAAGACTCGTCACTTCCCTTGTCCCTCTCATCCGAGCTCTCATCTAGAGGTGGGCGATATGGGAAAAATATCATCACAATTATTTTTTTTGCTAAATCATGATCACGATTTTATCACGATTTTTTTCATACTGATCTTTAGACTAATTTGTAAGTTACTGACCAGTTCAACCAAACTTATTTCCCTGTATAATGTTTTTATATGCACAGAAACTGCGTTGACAAGTTTAATCTATTTGAAAAACATATTTGTAGGAGGTCTGGAGGTCTCTCACCCAGAACATCTTTAGCAACAGAAATGTCTTTCCCTCAATTTGATCAATATTTATGCACAATTTGAAGGTTTTCCTCACCACTTTGAAATTATGATTTAGTTATATGTCCTCTTTTATGTTCATCAGGAATGTGTTCATTCTGTGACCCATGATCAAAGTAAGTTTTACTGACTGAAGAGTTTAATTCATAGAGGGGGCCGGACATTGTTGATTGACTGACAGACAGTCACCATAGTTACTCACTCTCACCTGCCTGCTGATTTGTAACACTGTTTAGTGTAATCCCTATAAATTCAGTTATCACAACAAGTGAGCTTCGAGTGGAGAAGCTTTATAAGTAACTTTTAAAAACTGAGCGAGATCAGAAAACACAGACAGCAACATTTGAAACACCGGGGTTATATCTCTCATCACTGTCTGTCTGAGCTCCTCTCTGCCTGACTCTCTGCAGACTGTGAACGTCTCTCCGGCTTGTTAAACGGTTTCTTGTGTCGCTATCTGAGATGTAAACTTAACTGTGCGAACTATGCAGATAAGTTAACTGTTGCTCACACCGTGCCGGTTTGGATAAATATGAGAACAGTTGCATATAACCGAGATGGAGTTGTTTTTGCAGAGTTTACTTCTAAGTTTTGTTTTTGTTTTCGCTGCTGCGGAGCAAAAGAGGGAGAGCATAAACTGCAGCATGATAGAATAAACACATTAGCCTGGTTCTACGATCTCTCTGCTTTGGCAGATCGTCAGCAGGTTAAAATCCTTCACAATCTAAGATCGTTATATCGCCCACCACTACTCTCATCCCAAACTGTCTTTGTTTTTTCAGCTCCATTTTTCCTCGCAGCCTGTAACCTCCTCTTCAACAAAGCTTGACTTCCTCTTGTGATAAACATGCCAAACAGAGATTGCTAGACGTCCTCCACTGTTGCTCATGGTTAACCGTGTCACGTTGTTCTTCCTCGTTGTTGAATCTATTGGCGGGCTACACTGTGTCACGCTGCTATTATGTACGGATACTACACGCGGCATGCTCAAGGCTATCGCCATCCGGCTTACATGCCGCCTACGATGTAAGGGTACTGCTGGCTGTGGAAACTAAACAAAATCAGGGTTATGCATACCAAGATGGTGGGGACAGCCTGCTGCTATGTACACTTGCTGGACACTCCTGAAAAACTCCTGATATTTGCAGTGGGAGCTGTACATGTGAACGACTTCACCCGGAGTTTCTCCTGCCAGACCCCTGGTATTTTTTCCGCAGAAAGTCAGAGTGAGCTGATGTGAGAACGCATCAGGATTTAATCAGGAGAATTCCCCTCGAGCCAATGGGAGAGGGGGGGTGACGTTTATATACTGTGACCGCTGTACGGTGCATAGACTGTCTGCACGCAACCACTATGATCTCTGTGCATGTAATTAAACTGCTGCATTATGTTTCCTGTTCTCCAGGATGTTGTTCTCCTCTCTTTTGTTATATTGTGATTCTGTTGGACTACATGTAGCATTGATAGAAAGTCAAATATTCTCATTATAGCGTCGTACAGCGGACTCTGCTGCTTCTTTTGCGTTGTTTTTTTCACGTCACATTTACCTCCCCCCCTCTTTCCGTCTGACAGGGATAGTCTCCAGCTGTGAGGTTCATATGTGAACATCCAGGTCAGGAGAATCTCCAGAGCAGTCCTCCTGAAATTATCTAGATATTTTCAGGAGTTTAGATGTGGGGTGGACCATGTTTCACTCTTCATCCTGTTTGAGAAAAGGTCGCTGAGGGGAGAAAAGGTTTTAGGCCTTTTAGAAACAGCTGATAAAGTAACTTAGTGAACTCTTCTTTCTTCTTCTTTCTGACTTCACAGCAAGAAGATTGTGAGAAGGCGTACTTCAAAATGGACAATGTGCTCATTGATGACCGCCGCATTCATGTAGACTTCAGTCAGTCGGTGTCAAAGATCAAATGGAAAGGGAAAGGTACTCGCCTTTGTGTGGTTTTCATGCTTTGCGTATTTCCCTCTTTTGTTCTGGACTGTTAACAGTTCACACCTGTGGCCACCTATTTTGACTATCTAGTGCTTGTATTCCCTTTCCCTCGAGATCACTCTCTCCCTGTTACTTGTGACTTCTTCTCTCAGGTGGAAAGTACACTAAAGATGACTTCAAAGCCTATGAAAAGGACGTGGAAACCCGCTCTAAACTCACTCTCAAAGATCAAGTGAAGCCCAAACAAGAGTATCCTTGTGTTTTAATGTTCCTGTTTTTCTACTTCATGTCACAACATGTCAGTCTCTGTGGGGTTTAGCTCTGTTGTGGCCATTTCAGGTTTCTTTGTTTTCTCTGTTTGACTTGCCAAAAGTATCATGACTTTCTCATCTCTGGAGATTTCCATAACTGTCCCAAAAGCTCCAAGTATGACCTTCTGATTGAGGAGGAGGAGGAAGAGGAGGCGACCAGCCATAGACACTCTGATAAGAAACACAAAGAAAAGAGGCACCACCATCATTCGGAGAGTGACAACAGGAAGTCCAAGAAGCACAAGGTACTCTATATTCACAGACCTGCACACATCTGTCAAACTCTCTAAATGCTTTCCGTAAAATACCGTAAAAGCTGGAATATAGGTGCACCGACACAGTCTGATTTTGGAGGTCTCCACGCGTCTTCTTGAATGACGATTTCTACATTGTGTCTAAAACTTGCAGCTCTCGGCCTACTGTGAAAGTTGTGATGTACTGACCCTCATCCCTCGAGTCATGCTGCACACCTCGGCTGGTCACTAGTTAACTTTAATGGAGGAGTCTTTCAATCCGTCCAGCACTCCACAAGGTTTATTGACCTGATCAGTACACCACCGTTTGCTTTAAATTCAAAGATGGCCACCAGCCTCGTCAGCGTCACTTTGTTTCCCGGCACAGCTTTTAAATGCAAAATGAATGGTAGTGAATTTTCACATGCATCGTGTAGCGTGCAGCGTGCAGCGTGTGGTGGTGACTGCTCACCGCAGCCAACTCTGCGTTCAACTCTTATCGCCAACATGTTGTACGTTTCACTGACAAATAAGGAAGAAGAGGAAAAAATGTAACATGAGACATACAGAAGCAGTCTCTTGGTGCCTTCTCCTAAACTTCACAGACATGTTTTGTGGAGCTCTGAGATTAATTTAAACTGGTTGAAAAGGAGGAGAACATGTTACACTGAGTTTCCTGTTCTACACAGAAGCACTTGACACCAGAAATGTTGCGTCTCTCATGTTTGAGAAGGACTCGTGTTCTCTGTGGTTCCTGTAGGTGTTGGTCACGCTGTCACTTGTATCTGTACCAAAGGCTTTTTTTGTTTACAAGCAAAAGTCTTCAGTCAAGGCTGGATTCATTGACCTTTTGATATTCACAGTTTCCTTGTTGTCATGAAATGTGTCAATCAGTAATGAAGGCATAATAATGAAGGTAGATTACATAAGAGATAAAAACACGCTCTCAAACGTGTAAGAGTCACTTCTAAAGACAAATGTCTCATAGTTTGATCTCAGACAAACACAGAACCATGCTAGACGGCGGTAAGACAAAAATAAAAAAGCCGTAAGTAAATCCATTTACTTACGGCGATGTGTTAGCTGTGCGCACAGCTAACACATCCAGGTGCAAGATCCATGTCCGAAGTTTTTTTGGGCGCAGTTTAGGAAATCATGCTCACGGATTTGTGCGAGCACGATTTGCAATCTGTGGGTTTATGAAACTGTTCAAACGGTTTGAAAATCCATGCACACATTGTAAGAAACTGTGCCCCCGGTTTTAAAACACATGCGCATGGATTTGTAAACTGTAGGAATGGAAACAGCTTTTTATTTTTTCTTACCTGTATGTCTCAACAATATCTAACATGTGATTAACTGATAGAAAATGAAACAATAAATGCAATAGTGCAAAAAATAATGCAAACCCGAGGAAGCTGTGTCCATCACATCAAATCAACGCCATCAACACAGGTTGGTCATTGCCACAGTGACAGTGACCAGGGGGTCTATCTGTGAGGTGTTTCCTCCTCCACATTGTCGTATCAGTTTCTTGTCATCAATCAATCAAACTTTATTTGTATAGCACTTTTCATACAACAAATGTATCACAAAGTGCTTTACATTAGCATAAATCAAACAGCAACAACATGACTCCCTCCCCCACAACTATCCCACAATCCAAAAACTAAAGTAAAAATAACTAGATAAGAAGAGGTACTGAGGAAACGCTATCAATAATTCTAAATGAGGAAACACAGGAGGTTAAAAATGTAATAAAACTAGATGAAATGAGATTCAGTTAAAAGCTCTGCTAAAAAGGTAGGTCTTTAGTTTGCTTTTAAAAATCTCTGTCATGTGAAGAACTAGTGTCTCTCCAGTGGTGAAAGCATCAAGTATAAACAGAAAGGGTAGAAACACACATTAGTTTGACTTTTGCTTATATCCTGGGATGTTAGTTAAAGGCAGGTTTGGTAATTTTAGATAACTAGCATGATGTTGAAAGTAGCATTCCCTCAGTGCTCCCTCTAAAGCCACGTCCATCACTTAGAGCTCGAGCGCCGTTGCTACAGAAGTGGACCTCAGCTCATCGTTTACATTTTGTAGAAACTACGTCATCCATGTGTCATTCAGCGGTAAGTAAACTCACAGTATAAACTCCGTCATCAGTGACGCTCTTTGAGCCTTGGCTAGTGAATACAAGGGGTAGAGAGCGAGCACAGAGACAGGGAGGCCTGTGATTGGTTCTTCAGTTTGGTACCTTGTGGCAGACATTGGTCGAAGTTTTTACAGACTTACAACTGATACAGATGATGGATTTACAATGGACCTAAAGACAATTTCAACCAACCAACAGATCCACAGCAAAGAGTGGATCTGGAGAAAATTACCAACCCTGCCTTAAAAGTTTGTCCCTAAAGCCGTTAGACGGGCCACCAGTCTTAAAGATGGCTGACACATAGACAGGAACACTCACATTCACACCTCCAGGTAATTTAAAATCACTTCTTAATCCAACAGCCAGTCAACGTTGTGACCAAACATTCCATCAAAAAAGTAAGCGTTGTTTTTTTACACAGCTTTGTTAAACTTTGATTCTGATGCACGTGTGATCACAGACTTAAATCCTGAAGAACGCTGTTTTATTTTACTTCAGCATGTTGTCGGCAAAGAGAAAAGGGAAACGAAAAATAAATGAAAAAAAAGATTTTAAGACAAGAACTGCTGGGAGACAGAGAAATGTACGAGAACACTGAAAGGGCTGTGAGTTCAAAGAATAAAATCTCAACACACTTTGACAGCTGCGAGGCTGAAAACCACAATTAGGTGTCGCTGAGTCATTTCTGTCACATCGTTCACCAACCCTCAATGCACTAATGAGGAAAACATCAGTTTACAATAAATGATAACGGCTAATTCTGTGATTTAAATAAGTCCGTCCGCTTTAAGATTGCTCACATGTGAAAGTGTAGGATCCAAAAGAGACAAATTAAAATGATTTAGTATACTTTAGTAAAGTATGGACTTAAACGTAAAGTAAAGCTGCTCAACAATCACTGATGGGTCTCCATCGTGTGTGTGCGTGTGCCCCATGTATGGAGGCTGTAGTCTTCCAAGCAGGCAGCCCAGGTTCGAATCCAGCCTGTGGCTCCTTTTTCCTCTCCCTGATTTCTATCTGTATCCACTGTCCTGTCGCTCTATAAAGGCACAAAAAGCCCCAAAATAAGTATTTAAAAAAAAAAAAATCAAGCTCACTCCACCTATGACTATTTATTAGTTTACTTATTTAACAATCTTTTTACTCTCTTTACAGATTTCTTTTCACTACAAAGAGTCTTCATGTCTCTAATTCTTACTTTTATTTCACACTTCCAGGACGGTGAGGATAACTCGCGAGAAAGAAAGATGGGACGCCAGCGGTCTCGCTCTTTCTCAAGATCCCGCTCCAGGGACAGGGACCACAAACACGGCAAGTCGCGGGACAAACATGGAAAAGATGGCCGGGACAAAAGCCACAGTCGCAAGGACAGGAGCCGCAGCCGCGAGTCAAAGAAGTCCAAGGATAAGGAGAGGAGTAGACACAGATGAGGGAGAAGGACACGCAATGCTTCACTTAGACTTGTTGGATATTTTCATTTTCTCTCGATATGTAGTCAGCATGAATTCACTTTTAAATATTCACAAGTCTAAAACTACCAGCTCCCTCTTAAACCCTCTTGACCTTTTGGAAAGTTTCTTTTTCACATTGTCTTGTTGAATAGGTTGAGAAATGTTTTTTAAATGTCCACATATTAAAAAAAAAAAGTCCCAAACATGTGACAGTTGTCGAATCAATTTGATTAATTATTCAATTCTTTCCAAATCCTCGTGAGACTTCTGTTTATTTACGGCCGCTGCGTCTTCCTCTTTCCACTTCACGCTGCCTGTGACAGCACGTCTAAATATATATGGCGGATGATTAATAACTCAGCTTTGACTTCAGTTTCTATGAGGTGGGGTTTTCTTTTTGAATAAAATGTCAGCATGGAAAACGGCTGGGTGGTTCACGGGGGTCTCCCTCCACCCACCTCGTAGAGCTGAGGTGATGAAGCATTTCAACTCGTCATGGCACAAACTGAAAGCAAACATGTTCCGACTAAAAGTTCACGATTCACGGTTGGAGTTGTGTTTTAGGTGTGTTGTGATCAGATAAATGTGACAAAGAGTAACTGAACTTCAAAGAGCTGCAGATGAGAGGTGCCAAGGGTTTAATGTTTTATCGTATTCAACAATCAAATCGTCAAACCACTCCCAAACTCTAAAGACACAAATAAGGCCTGGCACACACTTAAAAGACTAAACGATTTTAAAAATGAGAGGGAGCTCAAACATGAAGACAAATCATGACTGATTAAAACAGTTCAGTTCTTACAGTGTGTGTGGAGAGCAACGAGACGACCAGCTCAGCACACACTAAGATTCATTCACCAACAACCAGAGTCTCTACTCTCAAAACGTCTAATCTTTGCGTTTGCTGTTGTCGCGATGGTAATGTTTGTTGTGCTTCAGTCAGCTTGCTTCCTGATTGGCTATTGTTCCATTCCACTTGACAATTCACAGAGTGCGTGCTCAGCCATCTTGGTGTTTTCCCCCACACCACAGGATTTTGTAGTCGTAAATATTGAACATGTTTAATATGAACGATTTCAAATCAGGACGGGCCTGATCCTCTTCCGAGCAGATCCAGAGGGTGGTGAACAGAGAGAATGGTGTCTGTGGTATGAAAAGAGACTATATTATCCTTCCATTTAAACCCGGTGTCTTACTCACAATATAAAATCTGATATTGTGTAAAATGTTTTACTCCTCTGTGTGTGTGTGTGTGTGTGTGTGTGTGTGTGTGTGTGTGTGTGTGTGTGTGTGTGTGTGTGTGTGTGTGTGTGTGTGTGTGTGTGTGTGTGTGTGTGTGTGTGTGTGTGTGTGTGTGTGTGTGTGTGTGTGTGTGTGTGTGTGTGTGTGTGTGTGTGTGTGTGTGTGTGTGTGTGTGTGTGTGTGTGTGTGTGTGTGTGTGTGTGTGTGTGTGTGTGATGTGATTGTTATGTCAAATGCTGCTTTCACTCTTTGACACCACAGGAGACTGGCAAGATAATCGGGCCTTTGCTGACTTTGGTCTTAAGGGGGGAATCAGGCCCAAAAAACGTAATGTCTCATCTCTTTAAACACTGCTATGACTGGGGAAACGTTACACTGTGAGGGACGTGTGCAAATCAACAACAAAGAAGACTTCAGGGGGAAGGCTGTATACTGACAGCTATATCAGTATAGTATCTAATGAGGCCATTATTCCTTTAATCGACTTCATAGGCAAACAGCATAACTAAATGTTAATGGACAAAGCGTAAGTGACGTCTGACATCTGTTACTGCAAACACATAAGGAGGCACGCTGCAGTTCACATGAGCTTTCATCTTTATCTTACAGTCCTTGTTTTGATAGTGAGATTTACAGCAGGGTCATAATGGATGTTCCCTCGTAAACTGTTGATTACTGATTTCAGGAATGAAGCTATTTTTAACAGACATCCAACATTACCAACAATCTGTATTTTAATTGGTTCTTAGATTAGATTAATCGTTTACTGACAATTACTTAAAATCCATTTTTTGTTCTTTCTTTTTTTGTTTAAGAAGTTGTCATGAACAATTTAAAGTTTGTGTTCCACAGTGAAAGTTGATGAAATCTGTTCGATGGATTCCATTAAAACCATAGACTGTGAATATTAATGGATTAATGGATATTTTTCAACACCACAGGTTGCCACTGATTTTCATGTTAAAATAATGTGCAGATCAAAACAATGCAGCCTGGCAGAAAATCTAAAGATGAGCTAAGACATCTATCCAGAAGAAAAACATACGGCTTGTTTAATAGGTTTTACGGTATGTAAGTTTAGCATGCATTGATGACATTGGGCCTCATTCACCAAAATATTTCTAAGAAGATTTCTCCATCAGATTCATCAACGTTTTCTTAAATGACTGAATCGTTCACCGTGGTCAAAGCCTGTTGAGTGAGTGCAGGGCCCTGCAGTCAAACAGAATCACATGCTGGTTGCAAAAATTAAGGTTATGGAGATGCCTGACTGAGTGCTGAAAACGATGTCAGCGGAGCATCAGAGAATATTCGTAGGTTTGTAGGTCGTAGGTTTGTGAATGAGGACATTATTTCTTTAATACGCAACATTAGCACAAACACTGATTTGGCTACATGATATCAACATTGTGTTTGAAAAGCTCTTTTTTAATCAGTCTGTGAAGAGAATGATGAAGCCCTGAAGTCTTGTGCGACTTAACACACACACCTCCATAATTCCATGAACGAGAGAGTCAATATTTTGAATTTCCCGACAATACACGTTTGTTTTCATGCGTGGAGGTGAGGTGAGAGTTTGTTTTGAGCAAAACGGAAACAAGTCTTCCTGAGCGGAGCTGAACAACCTCAGAACTGAAAGGTGAGTAGCGAGCAGAGTGGAAAAAAAGGGTTGCACATCTTACTCCCCCGAGTGGAACCAAGACTCGAGACTTCCCCAGCTGTCGCCTACGCCGCCTGCGCAACTCACCTGTTACTTTCTGCACTCACCAATGACCATATGTGCTGTTTCCAAATAAAACAAGTGCTCAAATGAAGCACAGCCTGTGATGTTTGCTGTTTGTGTCATGTGAAAGTAGACCAGTAAAGTTTATATCAAACATAGAGAACATATTTTGAGAAGGTTTCAACCACTTCCCTGTGGTTTTCTCACATCTATGTTGGTATTGTTCTTAGCTCTTTTGCGCTCTTACTCATGTCTTCCGTGTGCTGAGAAAAGGAACAACAACATTTAAAGGAAACCAAAGTGTTTAATGAGCTGTTCTGGTAGGTTGTTGAAAAGCTGTCAGACATTGTGCAGTTTAAACGTATACTGTGTAGTGTAGAGTGAAAGACATTGTTTCGACCGCTTGTACCCACAATCGTATCATTTCGGTCACTACCCACAGCTCATAACCACAGGTGAGGGTTGGAATGTAGAAGGACTAATAAATCTAAAGCTTTGCCTTCAGACTCAGCTCCTTCTTCACCACCACAGTCCGACACAGCGCCCGCAACACTGAGGCCGCCGCACTAATCTGCCTGTCAATCTCACGATCCATATTACCCTCCCACATGAACAAGACCCTGAGATACTTGATCTCCTTCGCTTAAGGCAGAGACTCACTCTCCACCTGGAGGGAGCAGTCCAACGTTTTCCAGCAGGGAACCACGGCCTCGGATTTGGAGGTGCTGTGCTGCATCCCCACCGCTTCACCCTCCGCTACAAACCGCCTGCTGAAGGTCCCAGCCTGAAGAAGGTCCCAGCCTGAAGAAGCCAACAAAACAACATCATCTGCAGAGATGGGACAGCTCTAGTGGAGTCCAACATGCACCAGGAACATGTAAATGGTAAACAGACTTGAGCTTATATAGCACTTTTCTAGTCTTCCAACTACTCAAGGCGCTTTTACACCACATGTCACACACACCCATGATGATCTATCAGGAGTAACTAATCCATTCATACACCACCACCAAAGCAGCAGGAGCAATTCAGGGTTAAGTGTCTTGCCCAAGGACACACTGGACATGTTGCTCTGCTGGGGATTGAACCCTCAACCTTCTGGTTGAGAGGTGACAACTCTACCAACTAAGCCACAGCTGTGTATGACTTCGTGCAGAGAATGCGGTTGAGCTCTCACTTTGGACATTCAGGGCCCGGGGACCCCACATTCCCGCAGTTCCCTCCACATGAGCCCTAACCCTAACAAAGGTCTACAAAACACTTGTGTATGAATGGATTAGTTACTCTTTACAGAGCAGTCTCTACCATCAGTGTGTGAATGTGTAGGTGTGACCTGTGGTGTGAAAGAGCTTTGAGTTGTCAGAAGACTAGAAAAGTAATATACGAGCTCAAGTCCATTACTGTATAAACATCACAAAGTAAACAGTCATCATGACAGTGATCTTAATAATATTTTCACACCTGGTATCTTTGACAATACGGTACTGTTACACATGTTATTGAAGACGATGATGAAATCATGGGTATCATTAACTTCATCCTTCCAGTCAGTAGTGACTCATAAGTCCTGGTATTAAGCTTCTCTTGTGAAAGTTTGGGCATGATGCAATCACTCTTCTCTGTGTTCATCTAGATTATAACCTAAGATTTAAAGCTGCTGCGAGGAGGGAAATTAACATTAACGCAAAGGAGATGTTGTGTCGAATTTGAAGGGATCCGCACCCAGGCCTGGGCCAGAAATAGCCTAAGCTTTGACCCTAAATATAACTACAACCCTTGGTTTCTATCTGATTTATCACCTATGTAGAAACAAAGTCTTCAGAGTGTGCAGAGTGTTCCTCAAAGTCAGGACCCAGAGACAGCGAAATCTGAGAACAATCAGCCTTTATTCATCCATTACAGAAAAAAAAGCCTTGAGTTTTCCTGCAGAAGAACTAACACAATCATCAGGAACATCCCTTTTTAAACACTTTTCCATCATCTGTTGCTTCAGCGTGATTTTTATTGGTGGTTGAAGGTGTCAATCTATCACTATCTATTTTTTTCATCAGCCATAAAGGAGTCCGTCAGTCGTTTTCTGTACATGTGCACTTGTTATGACCTGTCCTTGGTACTTTCCAGTAGAGCTGTCCTCATATGCTTCTTGTACTCGTCCTTTTCAGAGCAGGGACTTTGCAGGCCGAGCTGCTGTCATCTTGGCCTCAGTGCTTTAGTTTTAGCATATGTGTATTGTACATTTCTT